TTTGACGAACCACTTCCACCGACCTCAGAGTGATAAGACGAAAATGAAGGGAAATTCATGCTTTGCATGTAATTATATGCACTTTGTGGCGTGTGTACGTCGACGCCGAAAAGATTGCTCATGAAGTCCGATGTTGGAGTTGTTGTTGATGGTGGTGTGTACATGAATTGTTCATGGTGTGTATGAAATGATAGATAAGACTGAGGATGTTGTTCCACACTATAAGGTGGGTGATTATCTCCAGCCATTGGGAATGTTGTTGCAGTTGTTGTTGGGAGTTGCGTACTAGAAGTGGATGCATGAGATGAAGAATACTGGCTACAAAGAAATAGTTTAGAATTAGCACGAAACCATTGTAAATACTCTGAAGTGTGTTGGAGAGGCCCCTGAAGTGGTTCCCCAAAAATAACATGTTTGCGTCTGTCTTTCCAAATGGAAATCCAGTTTGCATGTTGTTGAGCCCAGTTGGTGTCGCTATGTCCTCTCATGTCTATGTCGTGCATTTTATCAAGATTATGAGCTTCGTTGGGGATTGGTTGCCATAAGCCAAATTACAATTGGACTCTATCAGTTTGATGTCAGACTACAACTGTAAATAAATTTAAAGCAGTACAAGCAGTCCATATTCTAGAATCCTTATAAGCACGTGGTGGCAAAAAGGACTGAAATTCCCTATATGGCATCCATAGAAACTGTAAAAGAAAAAGGTTAAATATTTTACTCGTTCGATGTAAAAGAGAGTATGTTTGAGAGAAGTTTACATTGTATTACCTCGTTGTGGTTCATGTTGTCATATCTTAATCTGTAGCCTAGTAAGTCTCCATGGGGCGTCCCTAAAAATCTTAGCCCTCTTCCTGACCACCTAAAACATTTGTACAATTACAAAATTTTAGGTTAAATATTTTACTTGTTTGATGTATTAAAGTGGTATAAAAATTAATCCATACCTTGATGCTAGCGAAAATGTAATATCCCGTTGGACTCTTGGTTGGATGGAGGGCATTCTATACCAAGCCCAAGACTGTAGAAGCAAAAAACATCCACCCATTTTCTTTGAGGATGGATAGATTGCCCTACACAATTCTCTATACAAATGTGCCAAACAAGCAGAACCCCAACTATATCGTCCTGCACGTTCCAAGTCAGCCAATAATGGTAAATACATTAAGTGAATTCTATTACCTGACTTGTCTGGCATAATGACACCACCGATCAACCCTAAGATATATGCTCGACAATGTTGAAGCAATTGTTGTTGATTCTCTGCAGAAATGTAGGTCACTCAAAGAATAAATGTCCTTATTGTCAAGGGAGTTCAAGTCACCAAGCTTAAAATGTCATCAAACCAAGAAGGTGTTTTCTCTGTAGAAATGTAGGTCACTCAAAGAATAAATGTCCTTATTGTCAAGGGAGTTCAAGTCACCAAGCTTAAAATGTCATCAAAC